ATGCTTACACATGTAATGTGTAATGTGCATGTATGTCTGTGCACATACATGCACAGTCTTACCTTTGTTTTCTTTCACTCTGCCTTTCACAAAAAAGCATTATGCACAGGCATGTCATTGCATCTAAAATTATTTAATTCTATATGGAAGTTACTGGTGTGATAAAAGGAAAATTTTGTGACTCGCGACTAAATGCTGCAGCTTGTGGAATATGGAAATACCTTTTCTTTGACAAGACTTACTTTTACAGACTTAATTACCAGTTGCTCAATATCACATCAAGAAGGCTGGGATGAAAGTCCTCTCTGTAACAGCTGACAAAACCAGATATAGCCAGGAAGATGTGTGCACTGGGATCAGTTCCAGCCGTTTGATGTTTGGCTGTGAGGATAATTAGACTTTCAGCAGGTTTTGCCTCATGCTGCATTTTACCCTGGGACTCTGTAATTTTAACTTTCCTCAGCTGCCGAGCAATGCTCAGGTGACCAGGGAGGGGGCTATTGTTCAGCCCCAACTTTGACTCCTGGGGACAATGCTGTGTTCTCACTCAGAGCATCCCTCTGAGCAACTAGCTTTCTCAGGAGTATAGTCTTTACATGATTTCTTTTTCCAGCATCCCTTTGTGTGGCAGAACTGTGCCCGTAACTAGCATCCCAAAATCCAGAACAGGAAAAGAACACATTTTTAGTGTCTCTTAGTAACAGAATTATAATTCATATAAAATACCGAGTAAATGCATTCATTTGCTGAAGGTTAGGCAGGTTAAGTCCCTGCTAATGCAATTCAAATAAACACACATTCAAGGAAATGCTTGTGGTTTATCTGTAAGAGAGAGAACAGTGTGGTGTTCTGGTAAGGAGGGAGAAAATGAAATCTGAATGTTGGTGCTTTATCTCTCCGTGGGCTGAGAGCACAGTATGAAAGCAATGCATTATTTCTTCCTTCTGGCTTTTTCTTAGTCTTTTAAACGTTTTAAACACCACATTTCTACACAGTAATTTTGATATGTGTGAGTGACTGCAAGGGCTCCAGACACACGTTCTTGTGATGGCATCACCAGCCAGCATCCCCTCTCACCTGCTCTGTCCTGGTCTGCCACTGTTCTCAGGTAGCACCACCCTCCACCCTGGCTGAGGTATGAACCATCTGGGCCCTAAAAATGAGCTGTGGTACATGGAATATTGTAGTACCTAAAGCATCTTGCAAACCTGTTTTATATGCCTAGTAGGAAAACACATGTCCAGCTGTGCCCCTTCTGTCACCAGATGCTGATGTACAACAGAGAAGGAAATGCTGATTTTAAATAAAGAACAAAGAAGCAAACCTAACCCAAGCTTACTCCAGAGGATTGAATTCTTATTTTCAGTTACACTTCCTTATACTGTGGCAAATGTTTCCATGAAAGCACATTTGAGTAATTGGTTAATAAATTTTCTTTAAAAAAGTATCAATTGTGTACATTCCATTTGTTCTGAAAAAACCTGATTGCAGTTCAACACTTCTCTGTTAGTCCTCTGCCATTACAATTTTACAAGATATTTAGTTTATTTTATTAAGAAATTCACTAGTGCTATAAAGTTTATTTTCATTTGAATTTAACTTCACATGTTATTAATGTTCTTCTATTTTATTTATTTATGCAAAAGTTCTATTAAGGATAATTCTCTAAATGTAATTATGTTTATTTGTCAGTCTTTTTTAGAAGAATAATATTTCACCTCAAAACTGTATATAAAACCATAGGGTCATTAAGGTTGGAAAAGACCTCTAAGATCATCGAGTCCAACCATTAACCCAGCACTGTCAAGTCTACCACTAAACCACGTCCACAAGTGCCACATCTACACATTTTTTAAATGTCTCTAGGGATGGTGATTCCACCACTTCCCTGGGCAGCCCGTTCCAGTGCTTGACAACCTTTTCATTGAAGAAATCTCTTCTAATATCAAATCTAACCTCCCATGGTGCAACTTGAGGCCATTTCCATCTTGTTCTGTCACTTGATGCCTGGGGAAGAGGCCAAACCCCACCTGGCTCCAAACATCCTTTCAGGGAGTTGTAGAGAGTGATAAGATCTCCCCTGAGCTTCCTTTTCTCCAGGTTGAACAACCCCAAGTCCCTCAGCCTCTCCTTATAGGACCTGTGCTCCAGACCCTTCCCCAGCTCTGTTGCTCTTCTCTGGACATGCTCCAGCACCTCAATGTCTTTCTTGTCACAAGGGGCCCAAAATTGGACACATGATTTAAGGTGTGGCCTCACCAGTGCTGAGTACAGGGGGACAAATCACTTCCTTGGTCCTGCTGGTCACACTGAGATACAAGCCAGGATGCCCTTGGCCTTCTTGCCCACCTGGGCACACTCTGGCTCATATTCAGTGGCTGTTGATCAGCATCCCCAGGTCCTTTTCCTCTGGGCACCTTTCCAGACACTCTTCACCAGCCTGTAGTGCTCCCTGGGGTTGTTGTGACCCAAGTGCAGGACCCAGCACATTGCTTTGCTGAACCCTAAATATATGGTTATACATATAAACATGTATTTATTCCCATTCATAGAACTTTCTTTCAGAAAATGTATTTAGAATTGCAAATAATTCCTGCCCTTTATAACATTCTTTCTTTAATTCTTCTTATCAATATTTTGCTAAGATTGGGACTAACACCACAAAACTTCCTGAAAAGAATGAGCATTAAACTTTACAAGCATTCACTTTTACTGTTTTCAGTAAGAATATTTTGCATATTTGTTTGTCTAAAGCAGGCAATACTTTCTTTTGAAGTTTCTGACATTGTAAAACTTGTATGAATTCAAGCATATTCTTAGGGCAGAAAAAGGAGAAAAACTGAAAAAAAAGGAGGCATGGAAATTGTGAAAACATGAAGGGATGAGAGGCATGAAGTCCGAGTGGTCTTCTTTGTTATCTGTGTGTTAGATACATCACACGAGATATTTACAGACCCACACACTAGTGTGCACTGCTCCTTTGGGGCTTCCAAAGATGTTAGTTCGTGATCAAGCATTTGGCATTTGTAAACACAGAGTCTCATAAAGCTTTGATAAGATACAGAGAAGTTGCAGCCATCCAGAACTTACTTAGAAAAATATTTATTGACCTATCCAGCAATTTTATTTCTGTTAGGATATGTGCCAGACACATAACTGATCCCATCAAATCTGCCAAAACATTCATAGCACATCTCACATCTTTTTTCATGGTTCTTTGTCAGATTCTGCTGACCATCTACATCTGACACAAGGAAGGAGGATAAAAGCTGTGGTGCTGTCTCAAGCACACCGGGCTATCAGCCATCTTCTTAGAGGGCAATTTCTTTAAAGACAGTCTAACTCTCCTGCTGCTCTGTGCCATGGGACTTGGTATTCCTGATTCCATCCATTCTCTGTGCTCGAAGAGGATGCTTTATGTTAATCAAGTGACCATTTTACTCTGGTAAGTCTTAAAAATCAAAGCATCTTGAGAAGAAAGAGAAGGATACACTGAGAAACTTCCAGTCCTGACACTGTTGCTTAAGCTATACTGGATGCATCAATATTTACCCTTTCTAAACTGTTAAGTCTAGGTCTTACTCTGCTTAGGAGGAGGACAATTATATAAGACCTCAGAAGTCCCATATAAACATAAGCATAGCTTGTTGGAGGGAAAAACTCCCTGGATATAATCAGGGCTTTGCCTGAGGATAGGTATCACACCTTGTTACCATTTTAGAATCTGTTTCTTAAAAGATCAGACCCAGTGCCTTACTGAAATCTAGTGATTTGTCAGGCTTCTGTATTTGGGTGACAGCCAAGGGGAAATGTTAATGCAATACATTTCAGTGCAGGTGAACAAAAGCTGAGTGGTTCACCCATTGCATCTGTGAAACACTCATTTAAATGTCATTGCTGTGGCTGCTGAGCAGCTGCTCTTCAGTTCAAGCTGGGACATTCACTGCTAAATCATCAATGATGATGTGGGGTAATGTTGCCTATAAAATTTATTTGAAGTACCTTTGTGTTTTTCTCAAAAAAAATGTAGGGAATAGAGAAAGTGCTAGTGTTGTACATAGTCTTCAGAGCCGTGTGGAAAACCGAACCCAAGAGATTCAGAATGCCAGGCTCTGGTGCATTGGTTTAAAAAAAAAAAAACAGACTGTCAATCTTTGGACAAAGTGATAGAACTTGGCTGTGAGAGCCTGGTACTCATCCTGTTTCTTATTGATTTATTATTTTTATTTAAATAAATCCATTTAAAACTAACAAACTAACTCAAAAAGCACCACAACATAATGTTGCAGTACTAAAGGATTTTTTAATTATCCTCACTTTACAGGGATACAGAAGTGGGATAAGACACAGAATAAATGCTGAATAATTTTTTACTTACAACAAAAAAAATAAGAAACCTTTTCTAGGCTGTATTTCAAGTGTTGAGCAGAGCAGGTTCTTTGGTGACAGCCAGGAAGCCGCAGGGAATGCCTTGAAATGACCTCACTGAGTCCAGCTGTTTTGTGAAGAGGTGACTTTTGATGTGTTTCCCTTCCTGTCTCATTCAGACACAAGACCACATAGAAATGCTGCAACACAACCAGGGGCAGAATTCAAGCAATTTCCCTGCAGAGGATATTCTGTTCACTCATGTGCCATTACTTTGTTCTCTATATATTTTGTTTGCAGTTTCACAATATTTTAGCATATTATTGTCTCTAATATGAATGTATTTTCCCCCAGTTTTCATTTCCCCACAGACATATGCTCAAAGCAGTATAAGTCACATGGACACTAAATCAAAAGAAGTCACAAACAGTGGGATCTACTGTGTACTGTATTAAAACAGGACTAGCTGTGGAAGCCAGACAAAACCTACTTGTAGCTGTGAGTTCAGTCCTGCCTAGATGAAGTCAAAAGGGTCTTTGTCAATGTCTCTGCTGGGAGTATATTTGACAATGTGTTCTTTGAATATGGGTGAAGATATTGTGATTTAAATGAAAATAAATCCATCCACATCATAATTGAAATTTCTATTTATTAATAAGTGGTGCAGTTTTTAAAGACAGAACATAAAAAAATCAGTTAAGAAGTATTGTTTGCATAATATATTGAAATAAACATATTAAAGTTGTTCAAATATTGGACAGTGCCAGAATAGAAATTACACATACTGTTTAAAAATTACAATAAATAATATTATAAAGAGCACTAAAGGCCACTTGTATAAAAGTTGTGTTCCCTTGTCAGCCAGAATCCGAAAAAGCATCTTTGTAGCATGGAGAAAATTTCAGTGAGCAAGGCACAAATACTAGTAATAATAAGATGCTATAACTAGAAAACAAAATGCAGTTGGCTATGTAACCTTCAGTCCCAGCACGTTCTCGACGACGGAATAGGATCCCACTTTCAGTATTTTGTTTCACCTAACTTCAGAGAGAAGCTACTCAAAGCTGAATTTGGAAGAATCAATACTTACAGCCTAAATAATCAGAAGCAAAACTGATACCCAGGATCTTCATTCCCACAGCGCCCAGCTAAAAACACTTGAAAATGGCCCCTTATTCCTCCGTACCTCTGAAAATAGTCTTCCAGGGTGAACATCCACATTCAGCTGGGCTCCTGAAAAAGTGATATCCCACCAAATTCAGAAAATTTAGGTTTGCCCTCTTAGGCACCTAAAGCTTGGTGGTGGGGGCTGTGGGGTGCAAGGAGTCAAGATCCAGCTCTTTCTCACCTGCTCTTCAGTAAAGCAGTACGAATTTAGCTCTTACCTAAGCAGATATGACACCTCTGCAGCAACTGGGCTCCCAGCAAGGCCGAATTTGCTCCTTACTCTGAATTTTCTGACTGCTTTAGGCTGTGATCTTGCAAACTGGTTGGACCTCGGTGCTCGCCTGAAGGCCACAAGGCAGCAGCCCCACTGAGTGCGGGTTCAGGTTGGGTTGAGTTTGTGGTGCTCCTGGGCCACAACTTGGAGCAGAAAAATTTTAAACTACTTCCACTCTGAACCGTAACAATGCAGCAAAGTTACAGATAAAAACAGAGCAAATATAGCCGAAGTCAGTTTAGGGACTTTTTAATCAATCTCTCCACATGTTGAATTCCCTTTTATTTGGATGGGAACCAAACTGATTAATTCAGTGCAGGGAAAAGCCAAGGCAGTGACAACAGCCATTACCTGACTAGACCTTTTTTTAAAGTTCTCCTTAAACAGAGCATAAACCACACTTTCTATACCTGCATACTTCAACTGAACATTCCCTTCTGTCTTAATCAAGTATTCCCACTTTGAATCTAAAGTGAGGAACCTCAACTGATAATAATGCTGCAAAGAGAGGCACACAATGTAAACACAAATTCACCTTTTTGAAAACTTTCAGATGTGTGGCATTCACTAGGGACTGAAAATCAGGCTAAAATGTAGCCCAGAAAAATGTTTCCAGATCAGTGCTGTCTATCATACGGAAATTCACAAATAAAGGCAGGTTAGGACTCAGCCTTGCTCCCACACCATCAGTCTGAGAAGGTTTCTGACTTCAAGGAGAACAGAGAAAAGCTCCACGCTTTGTGATTATGAAAAATATCTCAAGGAATGAATTAAGAGTCATCAAAGAGTGGATTCCAGTGGTCAGTTCTCTTTTATATTAACCACATGTAAACAAAGTGTCAGTTGATATGCTAGAAAGATCTGACCCGAAGAGCATTGGTAACTCCTAAACTGAACCATCACACAGAAACAGAAGGAATAAATCTAATTCATTCCTATTGTGAAGACTATTGTTGACCCAGAGAGCTCTCTCAAATGAAATTGTGAATTGTATGTGGAAAAAGATCCTGCTTTCTCTGGGGCTGCACTCTGTGTGCAGGTGAAGACTCATCCAAGTCTCTACCCTTGCTTGGATTTTCTCTTGGAAAGAACATACCTTTACAATGAGGCTATTTATGGATTTTCAGCCAGATTTAATAGTGAGTGAAGATTCCTTTTATATCACCTGGCATGAGAAAGAATAGAAACTCGAACTGAAGAATTTAAGTGGGAATTGGGCAGGGAACTGCATGGCACAGACACTGTCAAAGACAGTCACAAACAAATTTCTCAGATTGTACCTGCTTTTTGGCTGCCTTGATTTTTGATTGCTCTGATCTAGAAAGCATTTTAAGAAGGACCAAACTCAGATGAAATCAGTAGGAATGACAGGCCCTTGACAAATAAGCAGGCTTGTCTAGCATACACTTACACCAATTTCAGAAGTGTAGCAATGTCAAAATCATTTTTCATTCTTTTTCATTCTCTTGTTGTGTGAGGGTTAAATCTCACGATTTGCCACAGGCGTCTATTCCTATATCAAAAAGCCTGCAGCAGGTGCAAAACAGGTATTTCCAAGAATCATCAAAGCCCAAAGAATTCTTCTCAATATACCAAATTATAATGAGTTTGTGAGTTAGTTTTATTCTCTGCAAATTTAGCCACAAAAATTGCACCAAACAGAGATTATCTTTCACGTCAATGGCTATTCTGTCAATTAAGTAATTACCAAAATTGTGCCTCATGTCGTCATAGTTATCAGCCTCAGAACAGCTCCATGGACTCAGGCCAGTCTTCAAAGGCTGTAACTGGTCTGCATTATTTACTCCACTAACAACAGCAATTTGTTCTCCCTGAAGATCCATCCCAAAAGGATGCAGCACGATTTAGCAGAAGAAGCAGATGAAGTAAGAAGATCCTAATCCTTTAGATGTCTCTTCCAATACAGAATAAACAATGAAGATGAAGGCAATGCCTACATCTGGAAAGGAATAGAAGCTCCCTGGATGGAATTACTGTTAGGAGATGTCAACAGTGCTGAAGAATTGAACATGAACTTTTTCTATGGTGGGCAAAACCCAACAAAATATTGTCTATTCAAGTGCACTCTATCCAGGGCTGTTCAATACCCAGTAAGTACTGGGAAGCCCAGTAACGTGTTCTTGTGCTCTGACTGGGTGTGCAAAGGATGCTCAGTTATGCAGCTGCAGTATAATACCAGCAGTCACTACAGAAAGACCACTTTCTAACATCTTACATGAACCAAATGCTTGTGTCTTTGTTGGTCAGTGCTCTGGCCATTGTGTGGAGTGACAGGTGTCGTTTTGACAGGAGCCATGACAGAGAGGTTGCACCTTGGATCAGTGGGGTAGAGGTGAGAGCCTTCCCACTGACTGTGGGTGTCTCTGATCATTTGACATCGAAGTCAGTCACCCTCTGCTCCCTGTGAAGCTGGTAGTAATTTGGTCATTGTAGATAATTGAGTTAAAGGTGAGATGAATCTCATCCTAAAGCTGACGTGTGCCTTGGTTCTTGTACCCTGTGCTCACTGACTGCACTGCTTAATTTCCCACCAGATGTAAAGAGTGTACAGCCATCAAACTTGAAATCAAATGGATGTTATTTTATGGACACCTTGATTGACACAGGTAAGACCTGCATAGGATATTCAGATAGGCTTAGTTTCACTAGCTTTTTAGGTACTACATTCCTGCTGGTGAGATCTTTGATTTGTTTCTTCTCAGTGGGTTGAATGAATTTCCTGCTCTCCCTCAATACAATATCCAATTTCTGTGAAAATAATATTTGGCCAAGGCTTAGGGAGCATCCTGACCCCTCTGCTGCTCAGGGACAAGTGACAAAAATGGTGTTTATTTATTCATACATAGATTTTAAATATGGCAAACATTCATGGATTTGGAGCAGTCTATTTCCAAGAGAAGCAGTAAACAGAGAGAAACAGATCCTGGCAGCATCTCACACTGTGGGACTCACAGAAGACAGAATAATGATGTTCTGCATATCTGAGGAGCTCAAAGCACTTGGCAAATATTGGTGACTTGAGCCTTACAACCTGCGTTTACATGTGGAAGTATAATTCCCAATTAACAGACTGGGAAACTGAGGCAGTGTTACATTATGCATCTTACTTAGCAGCACACAAATCAGTAAATGAGTGGAGTGTATAAACCTGGACTTCCCTACACTGAATAACCTTATTTTTGGAACAGAAAGAAAATTTAGCCCCATAAGTAACAAATGGACTTAGCGAAAGATTTTCTATAAAATAGCATTGTAGTCACACTTTGAGCAATTTTATAAACACTAGTGAAGACTTTCAAAGTAGTTTGAGGGATTTATATTTATATTTTACAATAAATAAATAGCTATGATCAATCCCAGAAGGTGGCTTTGATGATTTAAAATTCTACCCTTAACTTAATTTCAACATTATATTTCAGGGGTAATTATATAAGAAATCACATGAGAAACACAGTTCAGAAACCCATTTCAATAAGGTCATACTTTGTCTCAGCTTTTTCCGTGCTTTTGACATTAGAAGTTCTTGGCTAGGTTGGTTAGATATTGATTTATACTGAAAAATGATTAATACGTTATGTTTCCACAAAGGGATATTGCTCCTGAAAATATTTTTACTTTGCTGCTCTGTTTACAAAATATAGCAAGGACCACCATATCTTGCCTGTTATCAATTCACCATTGTTGTATTGAAGAGTATCAGATAGATATGTATCATAGAAGAAATCAGCTGTACCATTTATACAGGGTAAAGTCATGCAAACCATGCTCAAAACTAAGCTCCTTAGTTTTGGTAGCATGAAAAAAACTGCATTATTAAATCGTATGAAATGGTGCAGAATGACTACCACTAATATCACATGCATCTTATGCAGCCATTGGTGTTTGGAACTAGTAAGCTTTGGGTGTAGAGTAAGTGAGATATACAAAGTATGCTTACATTACACGGAGAAGTCAACCAGTGACTGCCCCCACACGCGCTTTTAGACTGGCTTGTTCGAAGGGGTCCATATTGAATCTGAAATCCCATCTCCTGTAGAAGACAAAGGCATGGAGCCACTTGGTGTGAAAGGGTCTGTGTCTGTGTCTGTCTCCCCCTCTGCTAGGTAGCGTTTCTCTCTCATCCACGCCGATCCCCCGTTGGGGCCAAACGGGAAGTCGTCTCTCTCCTGGGAGATACTGAAGCCACTTGGGGAGCGCTCAAGTTCCTCATGGTTGACTGAGAGAAGGGACAATGGAGTGTCACTGTCTCTTGTTAGGCTCCTTCTCTGCCTTGGAGACACCTTGTCTGAGTAAGGGCTTTGTAGGTCTCCTTGGGAGTGGTAGCTAACCTGGGAGTCCATCAGTGTGAATATAGGCAGAACTGTTGGCCTTTCTGCATATGAAGTTGAGGAAGGTGTGGCTTGCAGTTTGCCAGAGTTTTGCCCACCTGTTGATAAAGGTTGTGAATGAGTCGTATGACCTCGTGCTGAGAAACCATAAGGACTGACTTTGTTGACTGGAACCTGTTGGAAGTTGTAAGGAGTTTCACGAGCACACTGCTCAGTGTATTTATATATTATTGTTTTTAATTCAGAATATTTGTTTTCTTCTCTCTTCTCTCTTGCAGGAGAAGCAGTTTCTTTCAATGGACTTATCTCAGCGACTTGTATTTGCAGCTGTTCCATATGATGCATATGCATATCAACAAGAAAATCCAGTTTCTTCCCCATGTCATTTACCTGAAAAATACCAATGTCATGACATTGCCTCAAGTCAGTTGTTCAACAAGAAAATCCATGCTTCCATACATGCACTGCCTCCAGCAATGGTGTGTGCTCTTTATTGATCATGAAGGTAATTACAGGATAATCATGACCTTCCCTCACAAGCTGGACTGCAGTGGATGACAGCTTATCCTCTAACTACCTCAGAATAAGAAGACCTGTCCCTATGAACTGTGCCAAAAAAATTCTTAGTGTAGCTGGATATTTAACAGTCCAGTATCCACCAGCAGTCTACAACATTATTACAAAATCTTGATACCATATGGTAAATAGCCATTACCAAAATACAACATATGGAAGTACCTCTGCAGACAGACCTATTCTGTAACTCTTAACAGTCCCACAACATCAGGGTTGCATTTCAGGACTCATTCCCTTTCTCTTTTGATAGGGCCCGAAAATACCTTCGGGGGCAATCATTTTGAGTGCCAGACCCTGCAGAAGAAGGGGTTGCTGACAACAGAACATCAGGTGTGATGAATATGTTGTTTAGGGAAATGAAAAAGTCCCACTTAAACGTCATGGTTAGGATCTTCTGCCATATATAATGATATTGATTCAACAGGTTTCAAAATGCACACATCCCAGGTAAGTAAATTCTATCATGAAAAACTACCAACCAGCAGTAGAATTCTTCCAGGGTCAGCCAGAGTCATACAGAATTTATGTCAGCTCTACCATTTCTGTACAAGCACCTCAGTCTCCATCATTGTCATGAAATACATACCTGTCGTTCAACTTTGACAAATTTGCCCATCATACTTTGGTCTTCAGTGTCTGCTGTAGATGCTTTGGCTACATACGGATCATTTCTACAAGGAATTAATAACACTAGTTAGTGCTCAATTTTTGCATCACAGTAAGCAATTTCTATCAGAAACAATTCACATCTTGGTGATGCATTCTTATAGACCCTCGGAGACCATTTAGTTATTTATCATAAAAACAAGAGTAAAAATTCTGTGTGATTCTAATTCAATTCTAAAAATTGTACTCTTGATTTTTAATTTAATATTTTTTGTTCACAATTAAGATAAAAATTAAGAAAAAACAAAAGCAAAAAAAATTTCAAAATAATGTTGAAATTAATCTCTGACTTGGTGGAATAATTTCAGGTTTGTGACAAATATCGAGATAGTCTAGTTAGTGGGCCTGCAGATGGCCATGTGTTTTCAAATCTAATTCTTTATAATTAGTGTATTTAGAGACTGAATCTGAGTTTCAAGGATGAGTGTGGTTTTTTTCTCGATTTCATTAAACCAAATAATAAGTGGCAGACACTGGAAATGCTGAAAAGAGACAGTCTGGCAGCAGATTCCAGAGTGAATTTTCATCTATTCAATTTCTTCCTTCCTGTCCACCATATGGACAAACTTCAGGAGGTAAGAAGATGATCTCTAACTAAAGAGCTTTGATTTATAACTTCATGGGAGCTAGGCTGCTCATGATCAAGTTAAAACTTTATCAAATGGTTTCTAAACCAACCTCAAAGGAATATGTGTCTTCCCATAACTTATGCCAAAATTTAGGAAAACAGTTTCTAAGCACTTGCTCTTTAACATGAATTGTAACAAATACACTGTAAAACTTTTAACAGGTCCAGTTCTTTGCCTTCTGACAAAATTAAAAATACAGCTGTGATCTTACCAGAGCAGAAACTATAACTAAAATATGTCAGATTTTCCACATTGAGTTATTGGTGATATGGGCTCATTCAATTTTTGCAATCTGCTTTGTTTCCCAAATGACCACTGTCTCTTCCATATGCTTATGTCTCTCTCTTCCCATTTACATGGGTTCAGATTTTTTCTGTGGTGGATAATTTATTTTCTGTAAGATTGCTTTTGTTCTGAGCAACTACAACAGCTTTGGGGACAGATTGTTGATGGTCTTGTGTGGTTCTTGATGGGTATTTATTGACAGATTGATAGTTGTAAACAACAGAAGAAATGTCATTTATTATTGAATTCTTGCTACCAGGAATGCAGCAATACAATAAGATGCTGCAACTTTCACACCCAGAAACCTGGTATTACAATTTATTTTGAGCATCTCTCAGCAATCATTGTTTTAAAAGCAGCAGCATTAAAAATCTTTGCTTGGCATTTGGTAGGGGCCATAATGAAGCTTTTTTCACTTTGGGAAGATAACTAGTTTACTTTCGAACTATTGTTAATGTCAAGCTTTTAAGTGAGTTTACTAGTTGAATGTTAGAAATTCAGCACATCAGCAACCAAATGTGTGTAATTAATTTAAAATCATATTTCCCAACTGTGGAGAAGCTGACCTAGACAAATAAGAAGCCATTGCTTAGATTTCCACCGTACTTTGTTTTTAGGGAAGGTAATGACTTTCTGGCTCAACATTTACCTACGTGCATATCTTACAGCAACATATGCTCTCAGTATCATCACTATAACTGTGGATGAATAAAGGTCATGCTTATTGGTATGAATTAACTTTTTATTTCTGTATTGGGCTGTGCTAAATGCTAGGCATAAAAAAATTCACCTGGGAGACTGTTGTGAAGGGTAAGAAAAAGCTCCTCCTTTTTGGGATTTCTTATGCTTGGGAGTAGATGGAGGTCCAGGTGTAAAAATCATATCTACTCTGAAAAAAAAGAAAAGTGCAACCACATAAGTCCATCTCCAAATGCTAACACGTGACAGAATATGCTATGCATGTCTGAAGCAAAGATTCAAAAAGAAAGCAGGTGTTGATTTGGTAATATGTTGAGGGTCATGGTGTGTTTGTTCTGTTCTGGGTCCACAACCAATATACTGAATTGCAATTACGTGGTAATTTAATGGCAATTAAGTAATAGTCTAGCTCACAGTTTCCAAATTTCAACATTTGAAACACATGACTTCTTTTCCTTCAAAGGAACCAAACAGCATGATTGTCAAAAAATCCCCAATAGCAGCTGCTCTTAAAAATGTCAGGAGACCCATCGGGTTCTGTGCTGGATAATGAAAATCAGAACTTGGTGAAAGATAGAACTCCTTAAATTCTTAATAAACCAAAGACATTCTGGCAGTTGCTGTATCTAATTGTCCAGTAATATTTTTGTATTTACTATTTATTTTTTTTTTTTAGTTTAAAAAACATAACTTTAAATGAAGTTTCACAATGAATCCTACTTGACTTTTTATTTGGCACAAAAGCAAAAGGATTGTTTGGAAGGCTCCAGCACATTTAATTACACTCTTTTACTATATCAAAATGTTCTTTCATTTGGCATACCCAGCTGCTCAGGTGCAAGCAAGTCTCTGTTCTTTCAGCCCACATCCCAAACTGACCTGATACCAGTCAGCACTAGTGCACAGACCAGCTGCTTGTATGATCAGACAATCCATGCATTGCATGGCTTCACAGTGCCCCGTGGAGTTTTGAAAATGGAACTTGAAAAAGCTCAAGGCAAGCCTCACAAAGATAGCTAGATATTGGCCAGGCCCCCAAGCTCTGCTGAGACATCAGTCCATGTCTCTTCAAACTTCTATGGCCCCTTGCTATTCATAAACTCAACAAGTAGGATGCACCTCCCTGGTTGTGTCCAGTTGCAATCAGTGGAGATCCAGCCAACACAGTGAAGAAAATTTGTGAGACAGTAAGGGAGATTCAGCTGATCACATGAATACATCTGGTTTAAGCAGGGGTTAGATGGGCCATAAAGCACAATTGTGCTGGCTAGCTCTCTGTTAACCATAAGAGGAATCTCATGTGGTTTTGTAGGATTATGTTTTTTCTTCAAAGACCTCTAAAAAGGTCTGTATAGATGCAACATGGCTGTTGAAATTTTGCAGTTCTGCCACTGGTGATTCTTTATGGTGTTGCTGAGTTGAACACCAGGGTTGAGGCTGTGCTGTGATTCTTGCCCTGACTGCCTGGAATGTGACTCCATCCCCCAAAGCAATGACATAACCACTGTGTGAGATGGACCTAATCATATCAGGCACTTTTAGTGCTGCCAGGAGTCAAGAGAGTATCTGAGAAGTGCTGTTGTCCAAAATCATGCAACACCTCAGTCTGAGGTAATGGAAGAATCTCTAGTATAAGACATATAGAACCCGCCATAGATGGTGCAGATTTCTAATATCATGAGCACTCCTCAACTTCCTGAGTTCAAGAAGATATTACTGCATTAAAAAATCTAAGCTCATGTGATGCAGAGCTCATTTTACAGAGTAACAATGGTGGTTTGTGGAACATAATTAAACAAAGAAAGAAGTTTTTCTAGAGCAATAATAGTGAGGTAGGAACCAGACATGTTATATACTTGAAAAAGAGATAGTCCAGTACATAGAAAATCACTTCGAAATAAGAAATTACAATGTCCAACAAAAGGACCAGAGCAGCCTTACAAAGCCAAGGTCTGAGTGTGCAGCAAGGGTTGCTCTCCCTCAGCCCATTCATGAGAGGAATTGTCTGTGTGGCATTTTGCTGCTCAGAGTGACTGGGGGCCTCAGGGAACTTGGACAGTGCTGTGCTGGGACTTAGCTAAAGAGCTACACACGTGCACACACGTGCACTCAGGACCAGCCAAGCTCAGGGCCTCAAGCTCTGACCTGTGCTCATGGCTCAGGGTGTGAGCAGCAAAAATTTGTGTAGACATGCCTCAAAAGCACATTGTGATGAACTGATTCTGTGAGGAAACAACTGTGGGGGAAGATTGACCTGAACAGTCACAAAGGCCATTCTTTTTTCAGTTATGTCAATTTGCACCTGAATGAAGGGGATGTGAAACCTTCTGTGCTGAGGCATTTTTGCACTTCTATGAGATGTTTCACTTGGTACAGGTCAGCAGAGAATCCAGCCCAAAGAAAAGCTCGTGTAGAGCAGTTATTGCTTTTATTTAACATCTATAATATATGGATAAAGGAGAGAAACTTGATCCAGATCAAATAAGGCAATGGTCAGGACAATTCACAAGACTTTAATGTCCTTGTTCTAAATCTGAGCCAGTGGCCTCTTGCTGCAGTTATCCCTGCTAGCTACTCACTTGCCTTTTTTCTTTGGGAGAAAAAGTTTTCTTATGGACCAGCTACACTATGCAAAGTCATAGCTTCCACGTGACCTTACACAAATAGGCCGAGTATGCCTTTATTTCGCCAGCAAAGCTAAACATTTTCCCCATTAACCAGAAGATTCTTACCTTGCCTGAAGGTATTTTATTCTGGAAAGCATATCAAGATGCCCTGCTGAGTATTGCTCTATCACATCCTTTACATCATAAGGCCTCAAAGTCTCCTTGAATTTTTTTTTATAGAGACGAAACTGTAGTATTCTGCATAATAAACAGAAAAAATATTAAGTATATAAACTTCATAATGATAATTTCCAGCTTCATCAAATAATTGATAAATACACTGGGTGTTTGGAAATTGAGCACGTTATTTCCAAACAAGTCAATAAAATATAAGCAGAGAATCTCTAACATCATATCACATTTGGAAATACTTAATAGTTGGCTTTTCATAATTAATAGGATAAAACAAATGGTTAAAAGCTACAGAATCTTATTTGGAGTTTGAATTTGAACAATACAAGCCATGGGAGATTTTGAAGCTGTGAAGTTGAAGTTGCTTTTTAATGCTTTGGCCCATTACAAAGCTAATTTATAGTATATGTAATGCTGAATCATTTTAATCTTGGGTTTCATTTTGCACCTGGGAGAATTTTGGATTGGAAACACAAATTAGATATAACTGTGGAAGTTAGGAAATTAGCAGCAGTTCAAGTTGTGAAGAGAAGAAAAATTATTAAAACTGTTTGAACTGTCCTTGAAGAATCAGCAGTATAACATTTTTCTTGTTGTTGTAATGATAATAATATAATTGCTGTTATTATTGCTATTATTATAAAATGACTTAGTAATTAGTAACACAATTCTTATAATAAGGACCACTGCTGGCCAGAGCACTTAAAAAATATTTTGCATTATTTTTCTTCATTCTTTTCTGTTTATACATTGTTTTAAACTGTTAAGTCTTGGTAGATGAAACAAATAGAAGAAATGTTTAAAGAATGAAATCTTTATCTTCATATGTTTTAGGCTTGGGTTATGGGGGTTTGTTTTCTCAGTAGTCTTCATGTTCTCGTTGGTCTGAATTGGGGAATTCCTGTTATCTGTTAAGATTCTGACTTGTTTTTTATTTAATGTTGGTGGGTTTTTTAATGTTTTTAAAATTTGCATAAACTTTCATTTAGCAAACATAATTCTATTATGACTCTTTAAGGGCTGCTGACTCTTCAGCTCTCTTGCTTATAAATCTTTCTAGATTTCAGAATTATATCTATGCCTATTTTAGCCAAATCATATATGATAACAGCAAAACTATACATTAAAAGACGTAAATGAAAAACAGGAATCACACTGTTAGCAATTTCAATTTAAAATCTCCTTGGTCATGACCCTGAAATCCATTAAATGGTGTTGTCTGAAAGAATTACTTCCCATTAACATTCAAGGTCTGGATAAACTACACAAGAAAAAAAAAAATCTTGGCTCCTGATTGAATTTAAAGGGAAATTGCATGAATCAATTAGATTTGGACAGGATGTGGGAAAGAAGTTTTGCAAAAGTAATAAGTAGCATGTCTCTGAGTTAGAAAGCAAGCAGGTATCAGGGAAAGAAAGGGAAAGCTATGGAGGACATAGGGATGAAGAAACTTCCAATGGGAGGGAAGCAGTCATGGGTAACACGAGCAAAGACTGTGGGATAAAGCTTTCAGCAGGCTTGAGAAAATTTGGGATTTTTAGTGACTGGTTCTCCTGCACCCAACTGGAAGAGAACCAGGAGAGTATATACTATGGTTATATAGATATAATATATGGTTATATTTTTACAACCATCTTCCTTGAAGTTTTTCTTAGATGATTTTGGGGCACTCCAGACTTGCAGTATTTCACCTGGAAGGTGATAAGTCCCTGACCCAAAACTTAGTTACTTCTGGAATAAAATAAACAGCAATTGCAATGAAAGCAGAGTATTTTCATATGGGAGCATTTTTCAAGGGAAAACAGAACATTGAGAAGTAACAGGGCATCAGTGAATGAATTCTATTCGCTTGATGTGCTAAGCACATTATCGAGACTTACTAGGAGTTTTCTAACCCCAGAGAATATCTCTTGTGACAGGAAAATAGAGGTGACACATGTCACAAGCCAAAAACTGCTGAAATGGAGACCTCAGCATCTATTAAAAGATGATAGCTGAAAAATATATTGCACACTCATATGATTGTGAATAAAGAAGAACAGAGTCAGGTCAGAATTTTTTGTTTAGTGAAAATTCCAGTTTAATACAAATATTAGTCAAAAATTGAGTAATATATCATATTTATATAGTATTTTAATGAGGAACTGTATACGATATTACTTTATAATAAATATAATTATCTTGCAAAAATGACATGGTCAATGTTATTGAAAAACAGTCTCCTTTCTGCATCTTTTCAACAGCCTTTGAATAGGGTCTGTCTTGTGCTTTTGAATGCAGTCAGAATTATCTATTCTATTGCATTTTAAAAAAGCAATAACAGCAACAATGAATCAATATGTAGCAATATGGTAAAGTGATTTCCTGAAGCATAAACATTGGGAAAAAAAAAAGGGGAAAAAAAAGAGAGGGGAAAAAAAATAGGCATTGAGGATCAGTGGAGATATTTACCTGACAGCTCGGATGGCTGTCTTGAATGTGGGGATCATATCTTCCATAAGAAAATCATTACTGTCGCCTCTGTCTTCTGCCATGGGTTCCCCTGTTCCTGCATCTGCAAAGCAGGCCAAAAACCAGCTGTGTGAACATCTGACCACACAGTAATTAGAGGGATGTCTGTCTGACTAAAGCGCTGCTTAAAGTAAGTGCAATTTAGTAAAGGACCATCTCTTACATGTTCCTCTTTCGCTGTTCAGCTCTTGAAAGGGATTTAATAGTTCTGGGACATCTGTAAGTCACATTATTTGAGGGATCTCCTCTCAGATTCCAGCATTTCTGAAATATTAGGAACATATCTTCCTTTACAGTGGATCTTTGCCCGAATATTTTACGTAAAGGCTAAAACAGGTTTAGAAGCCACAGGCAAAGGTCTCCTTTCACTTGCACTGCTTGGAGCTCATGTACCCTCATGAAGAATAGTCAAGTTTCCAGTGTGGACACCCAGACTATATCTATGGTAGTATGTCCAGCACTGATGCCAGCTGGTTCAATAAAGGAGAAACTGTTATTTAAAGACCATTTGGATGCTATAGGCAAGAAGAGGAAAATGTGTGGTCAGGGAAGCTGAGAGGGAAAATGTCCTGTGGACATTTTTGTCCTGTGGAGAGGAAAAATGTGTGGACACCCAATGGAAATCTGCTTAGGGGCAGAGGGTCTGGGGAGAGAGGAGGGGAAGAATACCTTGACTCTATAAAACAAGGTTTTATGAGATGGCAATAAGGAGATATTTGAGATGCCTGGACACAGGCTAGTGCAGGGCTGGATGCAGTCTAGGAGGGAGCTACCTCAGGGTAGCAGCCCTGCTGATGAACCGAGCCACGATGGCATGCGTATTTTAGGGGATATACATTCACCGCCCAGCGTGCCCTCTTTTTCTAGGTCAAATAGGCTGATTGCAACACTGGCTTTATCCCATATCAATTGTTGTTTTCATGGATGGTTCCTGTCTTTTTTCAAGCACTGTGTTGCCTGGACTCCAGGATTCATTTCCTTGGGCTTCCCCAATTGTACCACGTAAAACCAGGTACCAGACGTGCTTAGCCCAGAAAGTCACAAACCTTCAACAGAAGATGCAGAGGAACAAAGTAAAATGGGGAGAACAGGGGATGCACAGAAACAAACCAACACAGATGGGCTACCTTCTGAGCTTTGCCAAAAAGCGTACGCTTTCATTCGGAATGCAGTGCGAAAACGCTCCTTATTATTCAAGACAACATTCTTAGGTTCTTTTGAAGGACTTTCTTCAATGGCATCTACATTCAGAGGGGTAAATAGCTTTCCTTTAGTATTGGTACCACGAACCCGATCCAAGAGACCCAGCTTTTGGCTACAAAATAAGCAAAAGTAAACATTTTCCTCCTTTGTACACTATTAATTTGTTTTCATGGTGCTTTAAGTACATAATGGGTTAAGTAAATGTTTTGTATACAAGGACACTGCTGGGGCTACCACAATAAATGAATGTCTTTGTAAGTAACAGTTAAGCTCCACAGATAATTAAATGCTTTTTATGAGCACTTTTGTATAAATGTTGAAAATTTTAACAGAGGGTTTTGCTATCCTCTCCGTGCAGGTATCATAGTGCTTCAGCTCATGTAGCATGCCTGAAGCATTAGTTTTAGTATTAGGACAAAAACACCACTACTGCCATGAGCAGGGACACCTTCCACTAAACCAGGTTGCTCAAAGCCCCATCCAGCCTGGCCTTGAACACTTCCAGAGATGGGGCATCCACAACTTCTCTGAGCAACCTGATCCAGTGCCTTGCTTCCCTCACAGTGAAGAATTTCTCCCTAATATGTAGTCTAAATCTGCCCTCTTTCAGTTAGAACCCATTCCCCCTTGTCCTGTAACTACATATCCTTGCTAAAAGTCCCTGTCCTGCTTTCTTGCAGTCCCCCCTTTGTTACTGGAAGGTGCTCTGAGGTCTCCCCAGAGCCTTCTCTTATCCAAATGCAACAACCCCAACTCTCTCAGCTGTTTATTCATAGAAGAGCTGTGCATAGTCAGGAGTAAAAGAAAGTCAGATGTGCTGTGAACAAAGTAAATTACCAGAAAAACTCTGGCAGTGCATTGCCAAGCAATGACTATGTATATGGCAGGGCAGGCTGCCCTGTTCTCTCCAACATTTGCTGTCAGCCATCTCTCACTACCCCAAGAATTGAGGTGACCTATGTGAGTTGTAGTGAAGTGACATATTTTGTTCCTCTGATGATTCCTTACACTGTCCTCTTATAGATTTACTGCCCAAAGACACTTGTCCTTCAGTGACAACATACATCTAGAATTTCATCTATCTGCCATTTTACCAGCATCACTAACCCTGACAGCCTGACGACTGAAACCATCTAAAAGGTAATCACTAATACTACTGAAAAGAGTAGCAGAAAAGGAATCTGCTACTGCGTATACAAGCTTATATATGTTCTGAACATTTTTTAGGTGATAGATGGTATAAGTATTTGATTTGCTTGTTCACTTTGCTGCTCAAACATTTGTTAATTGTACATTTGTTATTTAAAAAAAAAAATCAGGGCTAAGCCATGGGAAGAAAGCCTGCCTTTTAACATATTCCTGGATGCTGAAGAATGGGACAGCTCTAGGAGAGGTGAATTGTGCACACATGATCAAGAGGCAGTTCTGTGTGGGATACCAGGTCAAGCAGGTTGAGTGTGGGGAGAGAGGGAGGGAAGAAGCCATCACAGCTGGCAGGTTTCTGAGAGCCACGGGTGAGAGCAGAGCTGAAGGACAAACAGCCATGGTTACCAGAGGAAAGAGTTAATAGGTATCCAGTAAGGGATCTGTGCAGTAGGATCAGCTGAAGCCACTAAACCTGCTGGCAGGAGAGGCAAGTCTGGGGAGGGTCCACCATGCAAGGACATAGTAGACAAAGATGAAGACTTGGCTGCTGACCTTGCAAATGTGAAAAAAGCATCTATTTCTATCTGAGAGCTCTGTCTGTTGCAGTATTCCGCCATAATGGAAGTCCTTAGGAAATTCCTCTTAAAATGATAAAGGAAAGACTTAAAGATATGCTTGATGGCAGCACAGCTTTCACAAGAGTGCTAACTCTAGTAAAAATACTGTAATTTACAGCATGCAAAATTCACACCTGATCTGAGCATTGAACATCACAGCTGTTGCAAGTTTTTTTGTTGTTTTTTCTACATTAATTACTGAGGTCCTTATTTCTACTAGCTATTTCTGATTAATATATCTTTGACCCAGGAAGTAATGAAATATGGGCTTCCCTGTCACAAAAAGATGAAAGCACTTAAGCTTTGGGTAGGAAGTTTTTTCAGCCCTTCTGAATTTTCTTGTTGATATGCCAATACTTGTGAATGCAGCCCAGTAAATTCAGACTCTTGTCCTGTCATTGCATGCATATGTGTGTGCAAGTATGGAACTGGAAACTAAGAACAACTTGTGTATGGAGACACACAATTAGTCCTGATATATCAGCATTTCCAGGAGATGAAAGCCTGGACTGAGTGAAGAATTAGAACAGTCTAAGTGAATGATATCAGTATTACTCAGACTTTGCCCTATTGTCATTTCCTGAGGAATTCATGGTACAAAGTGCAGACAAATGTAATTAGCAAAAATCAGGGATTAATTACTTCTTTGTCATGGATGTCAACAAATAACATCTCATATTTTTTTACAAACTATGTTTTGGGAACCCATTTTAAAAACTACTTCCATAGTTCTTGCTTTTGGGTTGGAATCTTGATCTGATTGACCCACCAAGGTGCTCTAAATGGTGAGTGCAGAATGCCAACAAGTGTTCTACTCAGGAAGAATCCTGTGATCTCTCTTCTTTCACTTCTCTATTTCAGAGGCCATGTTTGGAGCAGTATTGCTGTACAAGACAGATGTCTTAACTACATGGCATTTCCGTGAAATTTGCTTTCTTCAAGCACTTGGCTACCACACACAGGAAAAATATTCAGAGGAGAAGATAGCAACTACTGAGCAATTTTGAAAGGGCATGAAAAAATAAAGGTGAGGAAGTAAAAGTCAACAGAATGATTTGTGTGGAGGTTTTTTGGGAGGGTAAAGTAGGGAAAATAAATTCACATGTCTCAATAATAATAAAATCAAAGTTTGAAGGAGGAGTTAATTTTGAGAAGGATGGTCAAGAAGAGTCTGGAATCATGCATATCACTGAAAAGAATTTTAATGCAAAGAAATGCACCAAAAATCTAGCTGAGTGATAACAGAATCAGCCAGGCAATATAAACTGATGAGCCTAAAAAGGTGTTAGAGAGAATGAGCTTGTGAGAGTGAGCATTTCTTTAATACAAAGAAAAAAGAGCACTTAGGCAAGCATGGTATGGTGGTGATCTTTGTAGACAGAAGGAGACTAAAATAAGCTAAGCTACAAGAAGGAGGAAATCAAAGCAGTTTTAGAACGAGATCTGTTCAATGATAATAAAATGAAGAAATTTATCCCTGGATCTGAAAAAAAAAGGTACATTCAAAAGGCTTTTTGTGGAGATCAGTTTTTTCCTGGTGGGAGGATTAACAGGTCACCAATGATAGACAATTGATAGTCGAATCTCAAATGAAAGGAAGAGTGTAGTCCACCTATTCTTCAGGATTTTAAGATTCAGAGCTTCTAGAGAGACCTTACAGGGTGAGAAGGATTAAATCTAGCAGTGAAAATCAGATGATTTCAGATGATGAGGTAATTTCCTCAAAGGCAAGAAGAGGTCACATACTACATACTGGCTTCGAGCAACATATTAAATGTGACAACATTTGAGTTAGTAACACTACAGAGAAGATCTCAAGAGAATACATTTAAGGCACAGAACCTGAAATATGAAGAAGCAGAAAAATAGATTAGAAAGAAGATTGCTACTGTTTATAAAAAGCAGTTTAATACTATACAAGAAGAAAATACTTGCCATTACAGGTGGTCTCTGACTCTCTCCCCCGAAACCTGCTTAGTGCTTCAAAATGCATATCCAGATATCCCAAAATTTCCCCCTTAAAACTCCTGTTATAATTGCCTTCCTTACAAAAACACAAGGAGCCAGAAAGTGCACTGCAAGGCTCTATAAGAATCAGACCAGAAAGAAAAGGGTCAGTGGATGATGCAAAGTATCCAAAAAATTACTCTAGTGAATTTTTTTTTCCAATGGAATAGGAAACATATGCAGAAAGCTCTGTCATGGAGCTATACAAGAACAGGATTGACCAAAATTTGATATCATTCTCATAGATCAAAACAGATCAAAATAATCCTCTGCATTCAACACAAAACTCTACTTATTTACAGTGACATTTTCTAGTGGATATGTAGGCACATGCATTTGTGGGGTGCTTCTTTTTTTTTTTTTTTTTTTTTTTTTGTGGGGTGGGATTTACAGTAGATAACATGAACTAAAAGCATTCCCAAACTCTCTTTCCAGGGAGTTTCTCAGCTATCCTCATTGATAAATGTCAGTTTAGGAACAAACTATTCTCCCAAGACTGTTGCTCTAGCATCTTAAATTTAGGAGCTAGAACTCATCTGATCTGTCTTAAGCTGTTAAAAAAGCTTAACTTCCTGTCTAAGATTAATCTTTAGACTTATTTCTGTAATCAGTGGGAAGTTAGCAACCCTAACCAGTGAGTGGGAAGAGTGTGGTTCAGCTTGGGAAGACTTTACGCTTGGGGAACTTGGCTTTTTTTACTGATTACAGAAAGATCTAGATGAGGGGTCATTTAAAAAGCAGGTCTCTAGTCTAAGTTAAAATTACCTGAGCTGAAGCCCTCCTTGTTAATTGAATCCTGATGATTAACCCTTAAAGTAACATTCAGACTCGTAACAGTATGTTTATGCAATAAATATGACAATTGTGTTCATAACCAGGCAGCCAGAGCAGTAGAATCATCAGCTTCACATCCAAAAATACAACAGTATGTTGTATACAAAAGAACCCAAAACAAAACCCAAGCTTCTTTCCAGATAATGACTAGCTGTCATCAGGAAAAGAAATGGACTTTATTCTCATTTCCAAGGGATGAAATCTGGATCTGCTGGGGTTTTTGTTTTCGTTGATCTTTTTTTGAAAAGACTTAGGCAACATTTGTTCTCATGACACAACCTCCTTCATTAGGGCAGCATGCGCATGGCTCAGTCCCGGGGTATGAAGCATGCGCAGGTCACATCATCCTCCATGAGAATGGCTAGGACAGTGGTTCCCACCCACAGCTTCATGTACTGCTGCCTGTCTCCTCCAGAATCCTCCTGCTGGTGTTAGCTACTCTTCCTCCCCTTGGAACAGTGGGCCTGTTTCATTTGTCTCTCTTACATTCAATAAAATGTGATTCCCA